TGTTCCTAGTAGCTTCTTGTTACTACTAGTAAGGCACTTGTTCCTAGTAGCGTGGCACTTGTTTCTACTAGCTTCTTGTTACTACTAGTAAGGCACTTGTTACTACTAGCGTGGCACTTGTTCCTAGTAGCGAACTAGCTTCTCCCTTCCAAAAAGAAAAGTAGGCGTCGACTTAATTAAGCAGGGCGGCAGGGCCTCGGGCTTAAGAAAGTTTTTAGTAGCGTCCTTGCTCCTACTAGCGATGCCCTTTGCTCCTAGTAGCTTCTTGTTCCTAGTAGTAAGGCCAGGCCTTAAAAAAGTCTCTAAAATTTGCACAGAAATTTGAGTTCCTCCAGGTTCGCCTCCACTACTTTGGTCACTCTTAGCACGTCTTGCCGAGTGTCTGGACCAACTTCTTCGGATACCGGTCATTGATTGCTTCAAGCAAAAAGGATCCCATGCCACTTCCAGTTCCACCAGCAATAGAGTGGATGAGGACAAAACCTTCCTGTGCAAGATGAGAAAGCACCAGAAATGTAGGGAATCTCAGGTGAGGCTTAGGCGGGCTTAGGGACTTTGTCTTTCAATCTGCACGGCCGTGCACTATTCTTGGCAATGGGTCCTGTTGATGTTTTCACCAGTCACTGGCCACAGCTGCAAGAAGGTGGTACATCCAAACCATTCAGGAAAAAATTGAAATCAAATCCAAGGAACCCGCATGTCAAGAATGTGTCAGGAATACACATCTAGCCTTTACCATGTGTCCACGATCATTAAGGAGGTCATTCTCAACCCATCAGTTCCATGTTGTGAAAATGTTCTCTATTGTCCCATAGTCCCATAGTCCCATGATGCCCTCTTGCTGAGGCCCGAACTAAACTATCACTGCCATCAGCCTCCCGGTCCACCATGTCAAAGACCTCCTGGTATGGCCAGCAGTGTGTGAAAGGAACAGGAAACCTAAGCGGTCCTCTTGGACCTTTTCGGCCATGCTGTAGCCTCACACGGCGTTGGGAGATTGATCATTCTCAGCAGCTGCCTACAGCCTACACTACACTTTGCTTGAACTTGCCCAATAGCGATGGCCTCCACCCTAGTAGCGATAGCCAACCTAATAGCAATGGCCTCCAACCTAAAAACAAGGATTGAAAAGGTCATGAGGTCATAGAGCTCTACATACAATGTTTCTCTCAAAAATGTTTTGGCGTGCTTGGTCACTGCAGCGACGAGTACAGCAAATGAAAGCAACAGCTCGAGCAGCTCGATCCAAGAAGGCCTGCCTTTGGCCCAGTTGTTGCCAGCACCTCCACCATCTTTGGAGATAAACACGTTCTCAGGGTTGTACAACCTTGTGTGATCAACTCTGTGAGGGCACAAAGTGATATGACAGTGATATGATATGAAACAGTATTAAAGACTAAGCCTGTTGTCCAGCTAGCCATGCTAGTGTTCATGTGGTAGGGATGCAAACGCCAAATAGTCAATGCGAATTTCTGCCGCACCGAAGACAAAACATGCTGGCTCCTTGCCAAGAAGAAGCTCTGCATATTCAGAGGTTTGAATAACGTTGATCACCTCGAATATCAGAAAGCAAATTCCGCTGGATCAGGTCAAGGGAATCTGCATCCTGCATCAATGCCACTTCCTTTTGTCATCTCATTTACCCAATGCTCCCCTTTGCTGGCTTAGTGGCTCTAGGTTCCATGTCCAGGAGCAACGCTCTAGGAATGTAGTGCTCATCGTCAGCTTGGTAGAAAAACACATCCTGATTTGATGGTCATGAGTCCTATATGTCGGTGGAGTTCATTCTGGTAAAGAGGCCTCAAGGCCAGAAGGGTCACAAGCTTGATGGTCCCACATCTCAGGATGCAAGGCCCTTTTAACCGACAAAACTTCAACCGAAGCCATCAGAGTCATCAGAGGAGGCAGCATATATTGTGAAAGTATCTCAAAAGCATTCTGGCAACATATCATGGTGAATCAGTGTGATATATTGTCTGCAATCATCATGGCCTGTTTTCACTCAACATAACCTACACCAAATTACACCCGCAGTAGAACCCTGCAGGCCTTCCGATCATCTCCCGCAGTAGCAAAGTCTTCGAGAATGCCTCGCTGGCCTAAGGCGGATTGGCCAAGCAGCATACATCCACCGTACATGCCACCTGCATCATTCTTGTCCACACAGGGGGGTAGAGAAGCCCTGGGTAGAACATGCAAAAATTGATGTTGAGTTGAGTTGACAGGTGCTCGACTTGTGGATGTGGACCCATTCGTTGGATGCTTGGTCGTCTAGCAACACCACAAGCAAGCTTCCCTTCAACTCCCCTAGCTCAGGCCAAGTGAATGGATCGATCTTTCTGGAACCAACGATGGCGAATCCAATTATATACAAAAACAAAGGGTGTCAGAAGATCGATGCCATGAGAAGCATGGTCCATACTTTCGATGGGTATTCATGTAATGATGCATGTTATTCATTATGTGGCTAGCGAACGAATAGGCTGGGCGACGTGTCTTAGCGGAACATTCATCGCTTTTTTGAAGTATCATGCCAAACCAGACTTTTCTTGCAGGCAGTTCTCCTTCCCATCACCATTTGTGCGAATGCAAGATGCTGATTCCATGCTCTGCACACAAGAGTTTCCAGAACTCTGCGCCAATCTGATTGCCACATTGCCCCACCTGCCGCACGGCAAATCAACTGCAAGAACACAATGCCCTTGCATTGAAAATGTACAGTATTCATTGGCTGGTAAGGTTCTTAGTCGAGTTGTGTTAAACATGGTTGGCAAGTGATTGATCTCTCTCTCTCTCTCACTTACCTTGCTGAAACCTTGAGCGCCTGCAATGTGATGATCTCGCGCGGCATTGCCAAGCACTGCTGGCTGCTGCTTGCCACCAAATAAAAGCAATCACGGTGATCACCTTTGGGCTAAGCTTTCCTCCTTTTCCTGCTAAGACTCTGTGACTGAGGTGTTGAAGTTTTACCATGGACCATGCAGCAGCAAACTCTGCCCAGTTGACTTGGTGTGACGCTCCATATATCCATGAAAGCAAGCACATGCTGGACGCATTTATAGGGACAGGTATCTCGTGGCACTCAGCTCAAGTATCTTTTGCATCGAGAGCACTTGAACGCAGTTCAGCACACGGCCACCATCTGCAACTCAGAAACCAATTGTGCTCAGTCAGTGTGCATGTCGCCAAACATAATAACTACCAGACTTGATCATTATGGTTCTAAAATTCAATCTATAACCCGTAAATCCTCCTTTTAATGATTGGCGTAGGGTTGCATGAAGTGAGGTTTTGGTTATTTCATAAAGTGAGGTCTCAAACTAGAATCTAAAATACATGCAGCGATCCAAACACATTATTGGCTGTAATGGCTGCGAGGAAAACAAGTCTTGCAAACCCCTACCATTCCCTTTCCCTGGCTCAACTTGGTGACTCTCTTTGAAAACCTGTGCATCAAGATCTTCAAAATCGTCCTCTTCCCAAAGAACAAAACATCTTACACTCTTGGACTCCCACATGAGCGCCGCGGCCAGATCTTCTTCCCTGTCGGCCATCGACCGCATGTTTTTCAGTGTGGGAGGTGGAAGTGCGGCAATGGCAGTATGATCTATGATGAGAAACAGATTAAACAAGAAAGCCCGGAGATGAGGGAGATGGTCAACGGACCTTGTGACCACCAGGTGGTACTTTGTGACATCAGCGGCGGCATCGAAGTTCCCATGGAACTCAGATGGCTGTCGAACCTCCTGGCACGACTCAAAGCTGTGATTGGTTTAAAACGGCTGAAACATGCTGAAACCATCAAACTGCACCAGTTTGGACATAGTGTTCTGGCAAACGATGGATTCCAACCGCCTGATTGGCCCCTTTTCTATGAAACTCAACATCGCCAGTGCTGCCACCAAGATTTCTTTCACGAGAGTGTCCAAGGGAGTCCTGGCAAGATTTGAATAGTTTCACATTGAACGTTTAATGGTCGCTCTATCACAAAACGGTTCACAACTCTGTCACTTTCCACAAAGCAACTAGCTTCAATAGTGAAAGTATACTCCAACTCACTAACATGAAAGTGGCAACCCCCCTGTGTGTAAAGGAAAGTAGTCTTCCAAGGGGCATTTTCCACTTCCATGTTAGTGAGTCAGAACTTGAGATGGCGTTGTCAAAGATTTGTGTGATTGATGAGTTGGCAGGAACACCTTCTGCCTGGCAAAACCGATGGGCTCAAAACAATACCAACAAGTACTAGCGGTCCCTCCGAGCTCAATGGTGTGCACAGCAGGATGGCCCTCAGCCGCAAAACTGCATTTATGTCTGTGACAGTCAAGTGCTGGCAAAGACATTGTGCAAGAAAACCTTGCCAAAGTACTTCCACTTTGCAACCTTACAACTGCATCCTTTCGTCAAGTTGCATCTCTGTACGGCACAGGCTCTTTATTCCTCACGCATTCGCTGTGCCAAAAACAAAAGGTGCAGAATTCAGAAGTGCTTAAGTCATCGAAAGCCCTAAGCCCTTTAAGCTCAAAAGAAAAGAAAGAAACCGTATAGCGATGGCAACCTACTAGCGATGGCCTCCAACCTAGCGGCTTAAGAAGTGCTGAACGCCAACAAAATGCTTACAGTAAGTCATCGAAGCTCTAAGCTCAACACACTGTGAGGGTAGGATAGAATTCACTGCCTGGGGCATTGCAGATTGGAATTCACAAGGGCAGTCATGCTCAACGGTAATGTTCAGCAAATGGATAGCAATCTCATGGGGTGAAACATCAAAACAAAGATTAGACAAGCAAGTTCTGCCATGTATGTCATGTCTGTCGTGGTGGGCTGAAGCAACATTCGATTCTACTGTAGCAGCATTCCAGCATTCCAAGTGAGGTGGACAACAGAGTATACAGTACATTTTTGGCGCGAGTTCCTTTCCAGGTGGACAGACTTTGGGTCCTAGGATGTCTTAGGTATTGTTTTTCAATGTTCGTGATTATTTCCGCCTTCTGGTGAAGCACCCTTTTGTGGATCTAGTTGAAAACTGGTTAACAGGTGAAGCTCCTAGTATCTTTCGTTTGAACAATGACACGTGACATGCGAAGACTAAACGCCTCATGACCTTCTGGAATTTGCAGCAGTTTGGGCCTCTGAGCTGCTGATTTGTTGGTACAGCACTTTGAGGCTCTGAGTGCTTGCTTGACCTGCCAGTATTTGCTGCGTATTCGGAGCCCTTGGGGCATGTGAGTGGCCGATTTGCTGGTCATTTTTTGCAGCGCTTTCAGGCTCTGAGAGTCTGCTTTGATGGTATGCGTGCCGCATCCTGCCGCTGTGAGCGTTTCCAACGAATGGGAAAAACTATGAAAAACTTTAAGAAAAAGACTTTAAGGAAGGCCTCCACCCTACTAGCGATGGCCTCCAACTTAAGACCGATGGCCTCCGCCCTAGTAGCGATGGCCTCCAACCTAAGACCGATGGCCTCCACCTGTTTTCCTTTGGATATTGCGTTGCCTTGCTAGTTTCATCTAATTTCTCACACTTGGGAGGTCATCCACGAAAGCCAAGCGACCTCTATTATCCACCGCTGTGTCATGATGCACAAAGAAGCAAACATATATATATAGTTCATAGTTCATGTAGTTGTCCGGACAACTGCTTGATTGTCAAAATGGAGGTCTTTTGTTGATGCAAAACATGTTTGATTCAAAACAAGTTCTTACTTTTTGATATATAATGAAATATATATATATATATATCGTTGAAGCTTGAATCGGGGATCCGCGCTCAAGTACTCATCGAATGCAATGTCTGCTTCGATAGTAAGCTCCGCAACAAAGCTCTTGAGAAGGATCTCACAACACACTGGCCGAATGTCACAAATGCCTGTAAGAATGTCACTAGTAACAAGGGCATCGCTACTAGGAACAAGGAGCTACTAGGAGCTACTAGGAGCTACTAGGAGCAAAGGGCATCGCTACTAGAAACAAGAAGCTACGAGCGGGGCTCAAGAACCTGCGGGTTCTCAAGGTCTGAAATGGTCTGAAGCCGGTCTTCTTCGTTCATTCTATCGGAGTTGCCCATGTCTCGCCTGGTACTCAGTAATGCTCGGGGAAAATGGGGGATCCCACACACCATAAGAAGTGCGGAGGCCCTTCAAATAGCTGTAGTACCTGAGCGCCAAAACGAAGCAGCCATCGGCACGGATTGAGCCCAGCTTTGCAGCATTTAAATGCCTTTCTCAGCGTAGCTGTAGCCAAGGATCTTGACCAAGGGAACTGGATACCACAGGTCCCTTGCTTCAACAAAGTGAGCCCTGGATTTTGTTAGCCCTTAAGCCGATGTTCTTGTCCATTGGTTGAGTTTAAACGTCCACGTTACAATCCTCGTTTAAAAAATGCACGAGGGCACTCGTCAAAACCTTTGTGCCAGGCTGGCACAATCAGTATGACATCTGTTAAAACTTCTCAAAAGGCCAGGGGCGCACCCGGGTGATTGTGAGAGGCTGCATTGCACCTGGGTGGATACCATTGAAAGGGCATTCTCTCATTTGGCAGTTCCAATCACCTCACAACAACACCCTCGTTGCTGTACATCTTTTAATGCATTCACAGCGAGTGAGTGTCCCACAATTGCCCCGATGATGATGAATCTCTTCCACGGCGTCGGCTCTCTACATTGCATGGACAGGGAGTGCGTCACACTACAACAACATCTTTTAAAACATGTTAACAAGGTCAAACGGGCGGCTAAGATTTCGGTGCAATATCGCGGCTAACAATCAGGAATCGGTCAAACATCGGTCCGAAATCAGTCCATCAGCGAGTGGAGTCAAGGATCCATGACGAGGTGGGAGGGCCTTACTTTGGCCTCGTTCTCTTTATGCAATGCTTGACAGTACCGTACCATTTGGCTCCAAGCCACTTGATGGCGGACCGAGCTACTTGAGAACAGCTCCGGTTCAAGAAGCTAGAACCTACATCTGGCATAGTCACGGTTCCGCTGCCGGACAATCAATCACAATGAAATGCACAAAAAGCTCTGTTTTCTCTCGACTGCAGATTTGCCTTTTGTCAACAAATATTTACACCAGGCACTCGTCTCGTCTGTAGGCGTCTTCTCTGGTGTCTGGGTATCCATGAGTCGCACAGGTTGTTGGAAATTGCTCCCAGCTTCACGATGATCTACCCTTCCACAAGCTTGACGCAAAATGGAACTTGGAAGGTTCATGAAGGTTCAAAGTCACATAGAGATAAGTTGGCAAAGTCGAAGTGCATCCTCTTTGCAAGGCAAGCTTCCGCTCTCTGCTTGAAGACACGCTGTGCTGCCATGATCAAAGTTTTGAAAAGAAGCATCCACTCAAGCCGTGTGGTCCATCCGCTCAACCACTGTATGTCTGGTCGTAATTCGTCCGCTTTTCCCTTGGAGAGAGAACTGTTCACTGCAAGGCTACTTCCTTGAAGTGAAGTTAGGAGGCATCAGGCGGTGGCGGCGGTGGCTTCTCTTCTTCTTCATCTTCAGGACCTCAGCTTGTAAAGGACGTGTTTGGGATGTGGGAATCTTACGAAGTTCTTCCTTCCATAGTCTTGAATGCGGGTGTTCTGTTGCAAATTTCAGGCAGGTACGAGGGGCCACTGGGGAACTTGGGCGAGATGGCTCCTGCAGCTCCAATCAGCATCTCGGTCTAAGTCTAAGAAACCCAGTCCCATCGTACAAGACACGTCAAGACCCTGTCCTCATCTGCCAGTGGTTCCTCATCCTCTCCCTTAGAGGCCAAAGCTTCCTGCATCGCCTCCACAGGGATGTGGACCCAGCTTGCTTCATGGGTCAAAAAAGACTCGTTTCTTCATGCTCACCCTTCCCTGCCCTGGCCTCCAACAGCTTGTCATGTCCACAGTCACTCGCCAGTGCCATGGGCGTGTGACCGTAACAGTCCTGGTGAAAAACAAATCTGAGTATGCAATGTGTGTCTTGTGACCAGAATTCAGCCATGTGTGGCTGCCCGCAGTCTGATCCCATAATCTAGTGAAAAGGGTCACAACTGTCACAACTTTAGGCTTCACTAACAAACCAATTGTACATGCGCGGTCACATTGCTTGCATGCCTTGCGTCACTCAAATCAGCCCCTTGGAGCAGACCTCCATGAGGATATGTCTTCTCCCAATTTTTGGATGCCTTAGCAGCAAGGATGCTACTAGGATCTCCTGGCATTTCTACTAGGGGCAAGGACGCTACTAGGGGATTCTGGTCTCGCTGAACCGCTTAACATGGTAGTTCACGCCCTCGCCATCGCTATGAAGGCCGGTGACCTTGGCCTCCACACGCGAGGATCAAGCGGGCAACCTCCAAGTCACCCCAACAAGCCACATAGTGCAAAGCAGTCCGCCCATCCAGGTCCTGAAGACACAGATCTGTGCAATTGAAAAGGACCACTGACCAGATGTGACCAGTGTTTTCTCGAAAATGCACTGACCTGATGTCTTTGGGCACTCGGTGTCTCGATATGAGCCAACATAATGATTCGATATGATTCGCCTTCTTGTAAACGGCTTGGAATTGCTCGGACTCAAGAATGAGCTTTGCGCTCTCCTTGGCAAAGTTCGCAAGTGAACAATGTCGTAAGTTCAAAGCTACCTCCAAAATCAACATACCTTCTAAACTTGTCATCAGCATGAAAGAACCACAGCACGCCAAAGAAAGGCTCTGGGAAGCTGTTACATGTGTTTGTTTGGTACTTACATCAACGTTCCTACACAATTGGCCTTAGTCCTTTTCGTTCTGTTTGCTGAGGGGCCCGTTGCCATGCCGTACACCTTGGTGAGCGGCTCGTTCTTCACTGCACAAAATGTGTTTCCTAGTAGCGAACATTGCTCCTAGTAGTACGCCCAAGAGCCCCTAGTAGCGTCCTTGCTCCTAGTAGCGATGCCAGGAGCCCCTAGTAGCGTCCTTGTTCCTACCAATCAAAACCATGTCGCTTCCGAATAAGTACGGCACGCAGCATGCAAAGCTGTTTGCCCCGCACGATCTCGGGCGTTGACACGGGTGAAGGCCTGCGCCATAAACCGTGAAGCAAAGGAACGCACAGCAAAGCAGGAAAGCCTAGTGACTAGTGACTAGCAGTGACTAGTGCAAAGTTAACACTGGTCATCACTTGTCTAAAAGAACATCATCTGCATGACTCGAGTGAACAAAGCTCTGGAATGTGCTCGTGCCTCCTTCACCAAGAGTTCTTGGACCACGCTGATCTCACATCGCCGCACTGCACGATGCAGCAGGCTTGCTTTAGAGTTCCTGCCACTGAACAGGAAGCGGTCAAGACTCATTATGCCCATTACGGAACTGGACCGAACTGGATGAATGAATTGTAAAATTTGAATCTATTTTTGAGCCGCCAGACAAACGTGTCTGCCAGTAGGATGACTTCATGGCTGCAGGGCTGCCAAACCAGGAGAGATTGAAGGAAGAAATCTACGCCGCCCCTGGCAGTCCTGAGCTTCACATCATAGTCTTCCTCTTCTACATCCTCCTCTGGGTCAGGAATCCATAATATGTTTTAACTTCTTCCAAGAAACTTTGTCCGAAGAACTACTAGGTTCTGCCTGAACCTTGTTGACTCCTGCTTCATGAAACTCTCCAAGCGGAATGGTTTGTGGATCACAGTCCTCAAACTGGACTCTCTGACGGAAACATTGAATACATAGGAATGCTGTGCTATTCCCCACCCCGCAACAGTGCCCTTTTCTTGCCTCCAAACGAAAGGTTTATCATGGAAACTCTGGGGGTAGTTTGGGACTGTTTCTGAGTGGGGACAACCCAAGGAGGAGTTCGTCAATTTGAATGCGCCAAGAGTCATTTGCAAGCCTTCCTCTCCAGCTTCGTTCACAATCTCCTCCAGGTCCGGCATGTTCAGCGGCTGGAACGCGTCCTCCTTCTGGGTCATGTAGCCTCAACTCAACCAGTCAAATTGCAAGGCCGCCACATCTGTCTTCACAAATCTGCAAGTCTACAAAGAACGCCCAAAAGAAGAGAAAAGTCCACATGCCTTGAAAGCGCAAACTAGTTGCGCTATTGAATCACGGAATCCTTCTGTTAGTGTAAATGAAAGCATAGATGGACAAAATGGCAAGGAGCGCTGTTGCTAGGTCGGATAAACAAAGGGGCCATCTACCCCATGCCCTGAGGCTTGAGGAAGCAAAACTGAGGTCCCGACGCTTGGCAATGTATTTTCCCCGGAAAAGGATGATCTGTTCTTCAGCAGGGATGTCAAACCTCAGCTTTCTGAATCATATTTGATGTATCCACAATGGCCATATGCAACCTTGAAATGACAAGCTCTGTTTGACTCCCTCTTCGACTTTAACACCTTGCTCAAGTGGCATTCATGGAGCAAAGACAAGAGTCTTGCCTTAACAAACTCAGGAAATACCTACGGTATCTCGTGATCTTGTGTATATAGTGTATCAAAGATTCAAGGCATTTAAAGCCACGGACAAATGGCGCAAGTTTACGACCCCAATCTGCTGGACAAACCAGACTGAGGGCTTAGCTCTGCTTGAACTCTTTCCTGGAGCTTGCCGTCGATCGCTGCAATCCCAATAGTATGAGTGGTGGATAGGCTCTCGTTTCGGCGAATTACTGCAAGTGCATGTGCAGAATAGAACAGGTTAGCGAGCTTCCAGCCTAGTACTGCAAAGATGTCAGTGAAACCCAGATCATGTTAAATGATGTTTAATGAGACTCCTAGAGGTTCTGCCTGCGCTTGGGATGCGCTCTCTTCAAGTCCAAAGTGTCAAGAAAACCTATGGCCATCCATGACTTTGTTCAAGGACGACGATGCAAATCTCCGAAAGCTCCCATCGGATCTCCTTGACCTTCATCATCTTCACGCTCTTTGGCATTTTCACCTTTAGATTCGTCCTGGCCGCGCACTTTCTCTCCTCTGGCTAGCTGAACATGAGTGCTGATGAGACAGGGGGATGAGATCCTTAAGAAAACAAGCCGGTCACACTGGTCATCATGAGACACCAGTTTGAGAGTTATGGCCACCTCTTCTTCACCTAATTAGGGCGACAAGGAGGCTCCAGCTGTCAGGTTTGACAAGTCTTTGAGAAAGAAACGCATTCAAATATTGTAACTGCCTCCAACTGATGATCCTTTTCTCACAAGTTGAGAAGCTGTTCGTGAGGTCTTGCGGCCAACTGCCGCCAAGAGTTGTCTAGCAAAAGAGCAGTGCAGGACGGGAGAAGAGCCCCGCAACTTTGCGAAGGATTGCTTTGACTGGAATCGCTTCCATGGGCGCAAGCTTTGTAGGTTCCCCTAAGTCAGCTGTTTTGCTAAAGGTTGACTCGTTGAGGGTGTTCGCAATGTCTAAGACATATCTCTTACCAGCATCATTTGAGGAGTCCAACTTTTCGTAGATCCTGTTGAGCGCTGTGACAGGGTGGACCTCAATCTCCGGATAGATCTTGTGCTTGTCGCAAAGGTCAATCACCTCTTGTGTGTTTGGAATACCCCCAATGCCGGACATGGTGACCTTGGATTTTCCAAAGGTCACTTTCCCGATCACCATCGCACCAACCATCGAGGAATTCAAGCCCAAAAGGACATGTCTACCTGATGGCTTTACCAGCTCGGTGTAAATGCTCTCATCGTGATCCAAAGGAATGGTATTGAGAATCAGGTCAAAGCTCCTGGCATGCTCAGCCATTTGCTGCTGGTTTGATGACGCCAAAAGGCCTGAGGCTCCACAGCTCTCTGCAAAAGCCTTCTTGGACTCTGACCGAGAGATGGCAACCACGTTGCATCCCAATGCTTTGGCCAACTTCACGCCCATGACTCCTAAGCCGCCCAAACCAACGATGCCCACCTTGTCACCTGCTTTGGCCCCAAAGGCCTTCAATGGGTCGTACATGGTGATTCCTGCACACATCACAGGTCCAGCCATTTCTAGGGGATAAGTCTTGGGTATTCTGATCCCAAATCTCTCCTGTACCACCATGATGGTGGTGTAACCACCAATGGTTTGCTGTCGCTCAGGCACAGCTGCACGGCCAGATGTGTCAGCGCCAGCATAGGTTGCAACCTGTTTGGAGCATTTCTGTTCTTGCCCCGCCTGACATTGGCTGCACTCCAAGCAGGAATCAACCATACACCCGACTCCAATGTGGTCTCCAACACTGAATTTGCTCACTTTGCTGCCAACCTCTTTGACGACCCCGGCCAACTCATGACCAGGAACGCAGGGATATTCAACTTTGCCCGTGAGGTTTTCCATGTGTCCAGCTGCAATGTGCAAGTCTGTGTGGCACACACCGCAGTACTTCATTTCGATCAGCACATCCAAGTCATTCAACTGCCTTCTCTTCAGCCGCACAGGCTCAAAGGAGCAAGAGGCATCTTGACAACCCATGCATATCGTCTCCATGGCCCAGAGGAAAGCTCTATACTCTATACTTTTGAATGCTACACAAATGCTCAAGGTTTGAGCCATTGCAAAAACAACATAAAACAACTGGCTGTGTATATCCAGTGCCCATAATTGAAGTGTGCATTGACTCTGAGACCCGCACGCCTTGCCATGGCTCGCAAATGAGCCCGGCTTCAAGCTTCGGATGATATTTGTCTATGTAATGATGTCTTCACAGGTAACCTGCGCTGATTTTGCTCAAGGAATCCTGCAGCCAAGTGGCCAGGTGGTTCTGACGTTCTGGTGCCAAGCTCAATACTGTTTACATGTGCTGAGAAGGGTGCGCTTGAATCCTGTCGCTTACAACCAACAATTACTGCAAGTCTGTCAGAGAGCCTGCTTGATTAGTCAGACGGAACTCTTTCCACTCTTCAAGGCCAGATCGCATCAGCTTTTTCAAGAGCAAAGCAACGTCCGTTTCATTGATCTGTCTGCTAGGCCCGCTAGATTAGATGTTCATTAGCACTTGACAGCCAGCTTGCTGGCTGGATATGATTGTTCGACTTTGTACAGGGAACCTGGATGTTGCAAACCTCCATCCAGGTTTGCAGCAAAGCAGAGACACAAAGACACACAAATGGGTGATATGACAGCAAGTAACCACACAACAAAAGACTTTGCGGCAGTTGATCCGAACTTCTACGTAATTGCATGGGTGTTAAATGTGTTTAATGCCATGTCAACTGTCTCTGCTTGTGGCTGCAAATCTATTGCGCTAATCAGTTGATGACTGCGCAGCATCGAAATCCGCCTGGAAGCGATCAAGATGACCTCGGATATCAAAGGCCATGGCCCTTAACTATAGTGTTATACCTATATATTGATAATATATATATATCCTATATATCCTATATATATATAACTTCAAAAACATGCCATCATCAATAATAGTTTGTTAGACCGACTCTCTCAATTGAGTTGCTGGCCATTTCTTTTGGCTGACTATCTCTGTACAATACAAGATCTATGAGGACAGAATGATGGGCTTGGGGACCGTTGGCATTGGTGTCTCTTTCCGTTTACCGTAAAACTGTAAAAACAACGTTGAGGAAAGATCAAGCTTGAGCTGAAACAGGAAGTTGCAAATGAGGATGTGTTGAACTGGAGGTGAGGGGTTTGAATGCTCCAGTACACTCCCGCACATATACGTGGAAGTGGAGATCCCCAGAGGGCCTTTATATGTGAAACTCCGGACACACATAGCCACCTTCCATGTGGGAAACTGAAGAATATGTCAGCAACCAAGACTAACATGGAACCCACCGCAAATGCCTCCCCCTCACACTCTTGCAGCACTAATATGGAAGCCATGTGTGTATTCTGTATTCTGTATTGCACAGGCACGCTTGTCTCAATGCTTCTGCCCAAACTCTGCACTTCTAGGTTAGTGTGTTTCTCCTAGCAATACACATTTATTGCCCTAACATGGCAGTTGCTGAGATCAAGCTGGTTGCGTTTTATGTAGTGCTAATTCTTGCGTTTCTCTAGGTTCCGGATTTCACTGACATGTATACAGAAGAAACAAAAATTGATGCTCGGCTGGAGAGTACAAGCCAAGCTGAATAGCAGTTAAGAATAAACCTGCATGAAGGCAGATTTGAGTTCGTGAAAATGTCAATAGAATTTAAAGGGTGTTTCACAACAGCCCAACAGGCATTACTGTGAACCCAACCTGAGATCAAGCTTGGTGTGTCCAGATTGCTAAAGCCACCCTGAGATACCTGGCCAACAATGCTGCAGGGAACGGTTCGTTTGGCGCGCGAAAGGTGCTGAGTAAAGAAGAGGGCAAATTTGGTTGGAAAGAAATGCAAGGTCGGTGAGTTGTCGTGAAATGTCACCCACAGCCGCAGCCACGTGCAGCTTCCACTGATGTGTATTTGTTCACAATATAAGTATTGCATATACAAGATAAATGGTCTATATAGTTTCATACAGCAGAACATTGGAGCATCGAAGTGATACAGTGCAACGTTGGGCCGAGGGCCTTCGGCATCCACTGCCCTTTGTTGTTAACCTCACGTGCACACGGGACATCAGGAAAGCAAACTGGCCAACATCATGATTCACGCACACTCGATATCGAAGCAATGATATCACCAAACATTTGGACCTATTTGATCTCCTCGTTTGGAGACTTCCACCTCATCTTCATGCCATTGTCGACTGATTCGACTGCACTTCTAAAGCCCACAAATCTACGAACGTCTCTGGCGCCTTCGTCGGCTTTGTCGGCGTGGTGAACAAGCCGTTTCCTGCCTTGGCCTTGGCCACACAGACTGGGACACGTGTAGCCTTCTCTTGGCATGCAAAATCTCAATCTCAGCGCTTCGAAATCCAGGCCTCCTGGTGACGACTAGACAAATAGGCCTGCATCAAGGCTGCGGATGCTTAACATGGATGCAAACTGTTGAAGGCACTCCATTTTGAGTTGAGAAGTGTACCAAGGTTGCTGTGAACAGCTGCTTTTCGAATCTCAAGACACGTTCGATCGCGGAAAACGGTCGGTTGCTGCGCCATAGCGCTATCAGTGACGTTAGCGGAGGTGCACACGGCTTGAGACTCAGTTCATCAGGTTATGAGCCCAAGGCCAGCTAGACACTGCTGAGTCTTGGAAGAGGGCCGACATGTCTTCGACGCTGCAGCATCGAAGAAGAAAGGCCACCCAAGAAGAACTCCGTCAAGGACAGCTGGAGATCGAGGCTGCCCACAAAAGAATGAGTCAAGAAGCTAGCAAGAGGGGGGAAATCCCTTTAGAAGATGTCAAGGGGGATAGTGAAGTCCAGAAGGAAGTGGGAGGAAAGGGTGACAAAAAGAAGGTCACTACACAACCCCAACATGGGACTCCATCATCGACCGCCTTGCCGTCCACAGGTGATAGCAAAACGAAGTCAGATCCTGTCAGGACACCAGAGCCGACAAGGCCCATGGGCCCTCCGAAGAGCCTTGGTCCTGTCGCAGGTCCTCAAAGTGAAGAAAAGGTAAAAGAAGTTGAAGAAAAGCCGAAGGCCCTGGCCAATGGAGGCTGGGAAACGACAGAAGATGGTGAAGTGGGGGTGATTGTCGAAGGGCCTGGAGACTCGTTGGTCGTGCACTCGATTTCAACACCTCCTGACCTGTCAGCACGAGAACCGCCTTTGTTTTCGAGGGAGCAACTCCAAGGTTTGCACCAAATGTACGCACAAGCACCTCTGCTGTATCCTCAATTTGAGACACCTCAACCTACTCCAGCTCCTGTTCTCCGTCGTCCCCCTTTTTTAGAGTTTGAAGAAGTGAGAGAAAGGGGTCCAGCGAAGAGTGGAGAAGATGAATTTCAGTTGAGGGAAACGCAAAAGGCCCTCGAAGAGACAGCTTTCTATGAGCAGTGGGAGAAACAAGAAATGTCTCGCCACCTTCAGTTTTTGCTCATGGAAAACCGGAAGTTGAAAGATCAAGTACAAGGGAGCATGCTGGGGAAGGAGAAAGAAGATCAACTTCACTCAGCTCAGCTTCGACAGTTATGGGAAGAAAACCAAAGGTTGAAGACCCATTTGAGCCGAGTTGGATCATCGGCAGATCCAGGGGGAGAAGACCCAGTCCGTGCCTCCCAAATGGGTCGCTCTTGGGAAGAAAAAGACAGGACAAGAAGGCTGTGGGAAGAAAACCAAAGGTTGAAAGACGATCTTAGACGAAGTCTCACTGCCCCAGCATCGAGTAAGGAAGAAGAATTTGCCACACCATCCGGAAGCACAGGTGCCGAAGGCGTTCCTGCTCGACCTGACGGTGGGCCAACGAAGGAAGATGAAGAACAAGAAGCAAGTGCCCCGGCAGAAAGGTCCGGAAAAGGAAGAGGCACTGGAAAAGAAAAAGATGATGCTGGGCCCGGTGACGTTAACCAACAGACCCTTACAGTCATTTTGAAGTTGGTTGAAGGAATGCAAAAGATCCAAGAAAAGATGGTCAGTGGCCATGCTGGAGAATCAGGTCCCGATCCTGAGACAGTCAGGGCAAGTGTGGACCTCCCTCGCTTGCCTGAATGGACTTGTGAAAGCGGCCCTATAGACTTCGCTGACTGGCTTTTGGTCTTGGCTCCCTTGATGTCAGATCTTTCCTCTTCATCGGAGGAGTGGTGGAGCATGACAGTCGAAGAGGCCAAGGAATGGTATAGGCAACACATGCTGAAGTCACCTCTCGAGCGCCTTTCACATCGAGCTGTTCCAAGCCCGAAGTTGCAGCAGAAGAAATGGAGTCGGTTGGAAAGAAGAGCCTCTGCTCTTTTGATGGGCGCAGTTCCCGAGGCGCTGAGAGAAGAAGTGGTCACTTCCAAGAGCATCACGGCTTTTGGAATCCTGACGAAGGGCATGGTGGCATACCAACCTGGCGGCTTGGCTGAGCGACAAGCCATTTTGGCTGCTCTCGAGACTCCGGCCGAAGCCACTACGATCCAGTCCGCTGTCCTGACTCTTAGGCGCTGGATCAGGTGGAAAAGGAGAGCTGAAGAAGTTGGTGTGAGTATACCAGATCCAACAATACTTGCAAAGGGTGTGAGCCGCATCACGAAGAAGATGGCCAACACCTACCCGGAGTTAAATTTTCGATTGCAGCTCATCAGAAGTTCTCTCATGGTGGATTCGATCCCAACTCACGACTCCATCAACAAGTACAGCGAGCATCTTCTTGCAGAGCTCGAGCAACTTGGCCACCAGAGTCGAAAGAAGGATCCGGTTCCTGAGCCCCCCAAGATCAAGAAGTTTGAAGAAGCACCGAAGTTCAAGAAGGAAGGTGAAGATAAGAAGGAAAGTGAAAAAGGTGAAGAAAAGAAAGGAAGATGTCGGTTCTTCCTCACAGACCAAGGGTGTCGCCGTGGCAAGGGATGCACCTTTTCACACGACATGCGAGATGATCGTCGCCGGTGTTGGAATTGTGGTGGAATCGGCCATATGTCACCCAACTGCACCAGGCCTAAAGACACAAAGGAAGGAAGTTCCAACAAGCCAAAGATTGCCAAGGTCACCAAAGAAAAGGGTGAAAAAGAAAAGAATGATGATGATGAAGGGGGGAGCGAAAAGGTTCCCTCGGTGAAAGAATTGCTCAAGGAGGCCAACGACATGTTGAAGAGTATGAGTTCTTCACCGACTTCATCGACATCTCCATCGGTGAAAGGAGAAAATGAAAGAATGGAAGTGGTTGAGCGACTTCAACAACAGCTCAATTCACTGAAGCAGAAA